GCATTTACAAGAACAATAGACGTCTTGAGGTGTGGTATCAGCCTTTGGTTCAGTATAGTGCTTTCCTTGGGTAGTTTATATCTGGATTCTCAACCTTAATTCCTATCAAATTAAATGTTTTAGCTGAGAATACTTTGAGAAAATGTAAAACAAAGAAGATATGTGTAAGGATTCCCTGACAATTTAATCATTCAAGTTCTCCCAAATCCTTGAAATGAAAGTTAACTGCCATAGACCTTACCATCATTTCACTTTTTCTACCAAGATTAATCAATCCCAAAATCCCTGTAAAAAAAGAAAACTTAACCCAGATTAAATTGGTCTACTGGAGTACATATTGAAGTGCCATGTCAAAATTCAGCCTCTTAAAACACACCTACAAAACCCATCCTGTAGTCATTCATTTTGAAACTCTCCTTTCTTAAAGATTGACTTCCTTTCTTTACTGGGGATCTTGGATGACAAACTTCTCTGGAAATAATTCAAGTCTGGGCAGTATGGCTGGCACAGGCCTGTGGAGAGATCACTTCAGTGACCACCTGTGGGCTAGCACACGGCAGTTGTTTAATTAAGCACAGCATCACATACAGAGCAATTTCTGATGGGAAATGACAATTCCACTGGAAACTGCTAGGGGCATTAGACAAGCAAAAAGTAATTATCTAAACAGAAATCCAGCTGACATTTCTGACAATGTATACCAGGGGATCGTTAACGATCAGATGCTCCATTTTAAGTCAGTGCCTCTGGCTTCAGTGTCCTCTCTGCTCCCCTTCCTCCCCGCAAGGTGGAGAGAACACCTCACACTGTGCTTTGCCTGCCAATTCTTTCTGCATGTGCTTTGTCTGCCAATTTTTTCTACTTGCAGAGTGGAGGTTGGGCTTACACTAACAGAGTAATTGAGACACGTATCCAAATACTTTAGGCCAAATGAGTTTTTATTCTTTCCAAATTAAAAAAAATCATATAATATTTATAGAAGCTAGAATTCTTTCTTGCCCATTTTCCTATCCCAGACAGAGCCAGTTTCCCTTGACTTTTTAAAGCAGAGATTTGGAAATAGGGCATCTCTGATTGATCCTCTGTGGCGTCCAATGAAGACACTCATTTAAATTGTGTCTTTTGTAAATTAATCTTTAGGAAAGAACTGTTGGATCTTTCAGCCATGGGCTTAGTTGTTGTTGCTGTTGTTGTTTTGAAGACAGAAACTAGGTGAACAGATCAAAACTAGGATATGATCTGAGCTGTACCAATGTTTGGTCTTGGGATTTTAAGTACCTCAAGTGAGATGAGAGAGTGCAATTACAAAGAAGGGCTCTTTGCCTTAAGAAAAAAAATAGAAACACTGAAAGTTTTCAAGAATATTAAGAATTAGAGATAGTAAAGATGTCTTTGCTCAATTATCTTTTAATGGTGAAGGCACAGTTCTTCTAGTATATATATATATCACACATGTTCTCGCTTTTAATTTTAAATGTTTCAGTTCACATTAGCTAAAGTACCTTCCCCTGAGAGGATTTTTATAATCTGTCCTAGCTGTTAGAAAATTTTTGCTGGTACTTAGCTCAGTTTTTCCTGTTTAGGTTCATGCTGTTAGTCTTAATTACATTCTATTGAACTTCTCTAAATAGTTCTTTCCTTTACTCCTTGATTCTTTACCTCATCTAGGAAACACACTGTTTACTTACAGAAACATTGTCTCTCTCATCATTTTATTTGCTTCGCGTCCTCTCCTCATGGCCCTTTTAAAGAGAGTAGTGTTACTCCTGTTTTGTGCCATTATCTGACACAATGATTATCACCAGTGAACTGGTTTGAATGATGATATATATAGTTACCTTAAGGGTAAAGCACTAATGGGATTGGTAACTTTTTTTAAAAAAAATTACAATCTCAGGTAATGTATGTGAGGAACTCACTCTCACCATTATGTAGAAAGGTTATGACTGAACATAGGGATTACCTTTTTCATGCTGTACTTCTCCATCTGCTGGTATATTCAGTCTTAATTGTGTAATTATTTATTTAATATCTGCTCTCCTCTTTAGACTGAAGCCTCATGAGAGCAGGACCATATTTCTCTACTTTTTCTAAGAATTTTTAAAACCCCAGACAGCAACCATCACATCCATCATAACATGACTAACAAGTATTTCTTGAGAAAAGAAATAAATGAATTTGGAGAAACTCACAGAGCCTTGTGTAGCCTGTCATCTTTTTTATCTTCTCTATATTAATCCAGTCCTTTCACCTCCTCTACATTTTAGTTTGGTTTATAAGATTGTCCTCTAACTCCTATTTATGGAAATATAGCTAATTATAAAGAAATTCTATACCTACTTCCCTGAGCTTCTGAAATTAAACACAAAGGAATTTGTTGTTTTGGATTAATATTTGTCAACTATTCAAAATCATGAACTCATCTAAAAACACCCAGATCCTCTTAGCAAAATCAACCTTATTTAAAATGATTAAGCCACCCATTCACAGACAGAATTCTAGATTTTATTCTTTGCCAGCTTGCAAAAGACCTTGCACTTACATTTTTTGACACAGGGAAGGGAGCACCATACATTGGGGTCTATTGGAGGGAATGGGGAGGGACAGCAGCGGGGGGAGCTGGGGAGGGATAGCATCGGGAGAAATGCCAAATGTGGGTGAAGGGGAGGAAGGCAGCAAAACACACTGCCACGTTTGTACCTATGCAGCTATCTTGCATGTTCTGCACATGTACCCCAAAACCTAAAATGCAATAAAAAAAAAACAAAAACAAAAAACACAGAGTCTTGCTCTGTCACTCAGGCTGGAGTATAATGGTGCAATCTCTGCTCACTGCAACCTCCACCTCCCAGGTTCAAGTGAGTCTTGTGCCTCAGCCTCCGGAGCAGCTCTGGGACTACAGGCCTGCACAACCATGCTCCACCAATTTTTTGTATTTCTAGTAGAGACAGGGCTTCACCATGTTGACGAGGCTGGTCTCAAACTCCTGATCTCATGTGATCCAACTGCCTCAGCCTCTCGAAGTGTAGGGATTACAGGCGTAAGCCATTGCACCCAGTCATATGTTTATCCATCTCTAATAGCACCTCTAAGTCCTTTCCAAGACCCTCTACTGTATTCACCCCAACCTGAGAAGTGTGACTCTATTGCCTTGTCTAGTTACCATGTGCCTTCTCTCCTTTCATTGCCAAACTCTGAATAAGTGGCCTAACGTTTTAAAATACATTTTTTATTTCAATAGCTTTTGAGGTACAAGCGGTTTTTGATTACAAGGATAAATGGTTTATTGGTGAAGTCTGAGATTTTAGGGTGCTCATCACCCAAGTAGTGTACATTGGACCCAATATATAGTTTTTCATCCCTTGCTCACCACCCACTGTCCCTGTCTGAGTCTACAAATTCCATTATATCACTCTGTCTGTCTTCACATACCCGTAGCTTATATCCCATTTATAAGTGAGAACATAACAGCATTTGGTTTTCCATTCTTGAGTTACTTCACTTAGAATAATGGCCTCCACTTCCATACAAGTTACTGCAAAGGACATCATTTCATTCATTTTTTATGGCTGAGTAGAATTCCCTGTTGTATATATACCACATTTTCTTTATCCACTCGTTGGTTGATGGGCACTTACATTGTTTCCACATCTTTGCAATTGTGCTGCAGGAAACAGATGCATGTAGGTATATTTGATATAATGACTTCTTTCCTTTGGGTAGATATCCAGTAGTGGGATTGCTGGATTGAATGGTAGATCTACTGTTAGTTCTTTAAGAAATCTCATACTGTTTTCCATAGAGGTTAAACTAATTTGCATTCCTACCAGCAGTGTATAAGCGTTGTCTTTTTACCACGTAACTGGCCTAACTTTTAATTGGAAATTTCCCCTGGAATATGCTGCCTCAAGCTTATGCTAGTCATATACACACCGATGCTCAATATTCTGGTTGCCTTCTTACCTTTCTTTCCTTGGTTACTGATACCATGACAAAATTCTCCCAATCACTAAGACTTGAGACTTTAGGATGGTCTTTGGATTAGCCCTCTCCTTTATCCTCTAGGTCCAACTTACCAAGCCCTCCATTCTTTTTCTGAGTAGTTTCTGATACATTACTTCGTCTTCATTCTCACTGATGGCACCCCAGGCCTAACCCTCATCACCTGACTTCCGGATATTATGTCATGACAGTCCCCTAAAAGAAGCCTCACAGACCTTAGTCCATCTCACTTTTTAAAATGACTCTTCATCATATACAATGCATCATTTTCTACTTCAATTTCTATTCCTAGCCTTATTTTCCCTTTTCTTTTTCAGCGGCCCCAGGCTGCCCCACTGAACTCCTTTCCTCCATGCTTGCCCCACTCCAGTCTTTCTGGTGGAATCCTACCTTGGGCTTGTGGACTTCCTATTCCCTCTGCCTGGAATGCATATCCCTTCATCTTCTCTAGCTCATTCCTACAACTTTCAGGTTTCTGCTCACTTAATTAAAAGACCTCTGTGGCTCAAACCTGTAATCCCAGCCCTTTGGGAGGCTGAGGCGGGTGGATCACGAGGTCAAGAGATTGAGACCATCCTGGTCAACGTGGTGAGACCCCGTCTCTACTAAAAATACAAAAAATTAGCTGGGCACGGTGGCACGTGCCTGTAATCCCAGCTACTCAGGAGGCTGAGGCAGGAGAATTGCCTGAACCCAGGAGGCGGAGGTTGCGGTGAGCCGAGATCGGGCCATTGCACTCCAGCCTGGGTAACAAGAGCAAAACTCCGTCTCAAAAAAAAAAAAAAAAAAAAACCTCTGTCCTGTCCCACTCTTCATCACTGTCCCCTGACATGGCACCTACTACTTACCTATGATGTATTTATTTACTCTCTTGCTAGAAGGTAAACGTTATGAAAAATAGATTTTCTTTCTTTTATTTTTCTTTTCCAGAGTATCTCCAGAAACTGTAACAGATAGGCACTCAATAAATATTTGTTAAATAGATCAATTATGTTTCATTTTTTTTTAATGTTCAAGACAAATTTATTTACTAAATCACCTGACATCGACATCTAAGATAACTTCAACAAATACAATGTTTAAGAAAAAAATTGTGGTATATAACATATTTGTCTTAAGAAAAAAGTCTTATTTACAAGTTGAGGAATAAAGGTATTTCTTTTAATTAAAAAACATTCATTACGCAGTGCTACCATAATAAAAGTGAATATCCCAAGAACAGCTCAAGTATCTAGTGAAGTATTAAGAGGTAAATGTTTTTTCAGTCATATTCAGAAAATCTAATGTGTTCACTTGCTTGTTGAGTCTTTGCTAGTCTAATCTTTTCAGCTTTGGTGGTTAACTTTTCAGTGCCTCTTTTCTTTTCCCGAGGCTGATTAAGTTTTGCCTATCAACCAAAATCTTCTGCCAATACCCTTGTTCATGATCACCAGAAAGGATCTCGAGTTTCCAGCAGTGTTTCTTGTTAATTTCTGTATATGCATTTATTACCGCTTGAGCATCCTCAGGAGTTTTAAACCTAGCCTGGCATTCTGTATCTCCTTCTAGCAAATCGACATAAAGAACTTCTGAGATTGCTGCCAAAGTATCCCGGACTTGTTTTCCTGCCAGGTAGAGGCTCTGTGCTAATGATCTTCACAATCACTCCACTCATGAACTGTGGTCCTGGCGCATTAACTTTCTCCTGGGTGTGACACTCTTCACTGCTGGCTTTCCTTTTTTCATTTTTTATTTCGGTCTTTTGAGGTACTCCACTGTCTGTTTCCATTTCTGACTCCGATTTTATTGGGGATATTGTTTTTTTTAAAGAACCCATGCTAGCTTTTTGTAGCGCTAAATACTCTTTTCAAATCCGTCCATTCGGTCTTTGATAGTACTCTTAATGGCATAACTTCTTCTCCCATTTTATGCCTCTCTTTATGTTTTTTCTTGTGTTTCCTTTTTGTTTTTAAGAGAGAGCTATCTTTCAGATCTCCAGTATCCTTTTCCTTGTCAGTAGAGATTTCTCTATTTTCCTTGGAAACTTCTGAAGCTTCCTTAACCATGTCTTTCTAAATAATTTTCTTTACTTTTGATTGGGGAGCTAGGGATTCTGCATCTTCAGAGCTATTTCTCTTCCTCTTCCCTGTTGTGACTTCAGGTAAGCTGGATACGTCAACTTTTTCCCATTTTTTCTTTCCCTCTGCTTTTGGGGTTCAGAAGACTCTAGATCAGAGCCCTCAGATGTGGGTCTGGGTCTTTTCATTTTACTGACACTGGTGTTGCTTGTGGCCATGTTTTCCTCTTTGGCTTGGACATTGTCTTCCTTCTTCATCTGGCCTTTCTTCTTCTTTTTCTTTTTCTTGTCTTCCACAATTCTTAAGGCTGGAATGGGCTTATTTTTCACTGTTTTAGGAAATATGCCAGGTTTTCTTGGTGCTTCTTCTGGTGGGTTGCTAAGAAACTCAATTGCTTTTGCTGCTTGTTCTTTTGTTTCAAATTCTACAAATGCAAATCCTTTTGGATCTCCAGTAGACTTATAATGTGGTATATAAACCACATTGCCACATTTCCCAAAGACTCTTTCAAGCCAACTGTTATTGACATTTTGGGGAAGAAACTCCACCATACATCGTGTGCTCATCCTCATCCTTTGGTCCTTCCACCAGAGGTTTTTTCTTCCTGATTCTGGTGCCTTCCAAATCAAGTTCTACAGCAGGTGAACTTCTCAATGCTCTGGCAATTAACTTCCCATCAGCAGTCCATTTTTTCATTTTGTTAAAAGACACAAGTAGTGATATATCAACATATCCATCTCTAGATTTTTCTATCTGTTCTCGAAGAAATCTTTCCTTGTGAAGATTTGCATCCCCAAACCAGAAGTCCACCTGCTTAGCAATATCTGCAAGCGCCTGTTTAACTCATGACCATTTCTTTTATTCAACTTCTTTTTCCTTTTCAGTGCTTTCTTCTTCCATTATCTTTTCTTGATTTCCACTTTGTTTCCATTCTCTGTTCAACTCCCAAAATACAGGGTCAAGTACTGCAGCCTTCAGTCCTTTCAGTCTCCTGATCCTGACAGTCTTGGTTACTTTCTCATCATAGGACCTCATTTTTGTAATTATGTATCATATAAAATACATAATAATAAATTAGACAGGGCATGGTGTCTCATGCCTGTAATTTCAGCACTTTGGGAGCTGAGGCGGGTGGACCACCTGAGGTCAGGAGTTCAAGACCAGCCTGGCTAGTATGCTGAAACCTCATCTCTACAAAAATACAAAAATTAGCCTGGCATAATGCCGGGTGCCTGTAATCCCAGCTACTTGGGAGGCTGAGGCAGGAGAATCTCTTGAACCTAGGAGGTGGAGGTTTGCAGTGAGCCAAGATTCCACTATTACACTCCAGTCTGGGTGACAGAGGAGATTCCGTCACAAAATAATAAGAATAATAATGAATTATAATATTCACATGTTCTCCAGTATTCTGGGATTATTATTTTCTTTCTCCCACTGCAGCATAAATATGAGTAATCAATGAGTATTTTAATAAAATCCAAAAGGTGAAGGAATGTGGGGAGGGAGGAGATACTTGGCCTCTTTTGTGTTGTATCTCCACCTCACACTAAGTTGCTGTTCCAGACTTTCTTTCAGTACCGCCTGCCTGTCCTATAGGCCATGGCTCTTGGGCATTCTGATTTTCTCAAATACGCTTCCCCACCAAAGGTGGGCTAGCATCATAGATTTCCTTTGAATGAAGAAAGTCAAATTTAATATAGCCCCAAAATTAGCAAATGAATCTTGCGATCATATTTGTATTTGTGTGTGTGTGTTGTTGTTGCTGTTGTTTTAGAGACAGTGTCCTGCTCTCTGCACCATGCTTGAGTGCAGTCAAGTAACCAGGGTACACTATAACCTCAGACTCCAGGGTTCAAGCGATCCTCTTGCCTCAGCCTCCAGAGTCGCTTGGATGACCATGTAGGCCACCACACCTGGTTAATTTTTTATTTTTGTAGAGACTGAGTCCTGCTCTGTTGTCCAGAGTGGTCTCAAACTACTGGCCTTGAGCCATCCTCTCACCTTGGCCTCCCAAAAGGCTGGGATTGCAGGCAGGAGCCACCGCATGCAGATGCTACATGTTGTTAAGGTCTGGCATTTTTTCTTCCTGCTACAGTAACTATTAAATTATAATAGTGATTAACATGAATTATTTACTAATTTCCCAACATGCATGCAATCCTCACAATCACTCAATAAAGTAGGTAGTGTTATTAAAATCTCCATTAATAGACGAGAAAAATTTGGCTTAGAAATATAACCAACTAGCTTAATGTCATGAAACAAGTTTGTGAGTCAGGAATCAAGCCCAGGTCTGGCTGACTCCAAAGCTCACCATCCTTTACCACTTCCAGCATAAAGCACATTAAATCTCTTTTGGAACCAGGTGGAAAAGTGAGTGAATGAACAGATGAATGATTAATTGCACCCATTTTTTTTATCTTATTAATGGTGTTTAATAACCTAATTTTGAACTGACTCAAGGAAGTTTTTGTCCTGGAAGAGCATCCTGCGAATAGGGTCCATTAAGCAGACAGCCTGAAGGACCACCTGCCAAAGGTTCAGCAGAGGATGTTTCTGAGCTTCGTGGGAGGCAGAACTCCATAAACTCCAAGGTCTCTTCAAGATCAAGTGATGCATTCTATGACTCCAAGAGGTTTCTAAAAAATAGAAAATTTAGAATATATACAGCCTATATAAATAGAAATAAAATTAATCTAACTTTGTCTTTCTTTTATGCTTTTCCAAAAAAGAAACAATTATTTTAGGATGAATCCAGGAGATAATAATCAGAATATCAGCATTTTGAACTCTATCAGCTTTAATTCATTTTCCCTTTAAGTTTATACTTTTGTAGCACTGACTTTTCTCCAGAGTCAGAGAAAATAACAATGGTAAATAACGAGCTCTTCGTGTTCCTGGAACAAACTACCCAATGCTAGAAAAGCCGGCTCCAGCATGTGCTGAGAAAGCATCCAGATGTTAGCCAGCTGAAACAATATATCCCAGTGCATTTAAATAAAAACTTCATCTTCATTTAAAAATTGGAAGTCAAAATGGAGTTTAGGATTCCCAATAAGGGTCAAAAAACTGCAAGAACTCATGCATCTCTGAACCTGCCAATTGCCAGAAGGTGTCCGTACACGTCCTAGAACACTAAGAATTAAAAAGTAAATACAATGCTTGATATAATAGCTAACCTTTCTGATTACCTCAAGTTGCGCTAACAATAGTAAAGGTGCCTAGTATTTATTTGGTTATTACTTGTGAGTTTCACATACCATGGTCATGGGTTGCTTGGAAGAACGAGCTGTGGGAAATGCAAGAGAGTGGAGAGACGACAGAGGAATTGGGAGCTGCGCTGACGGAGGAATTGGGAGCTGCGCAGATCACCGGGAGATCTAGGGACAGGGAGGGGCATTCTCCACCCTTCCCCCTAAACTCTTTAAAAGGGAAAATGAATAAAATGTCAAGCAAACAAAACAAAATGCTAAGGAACCTTGAAAACTTCAGAAATAAACATTGGTTTTCAGAGACACAGAAAAAGAGAGGTTCATTCGCAAAGAAATGAAATTGATGAAAAAATGAATTACAAAAACGTGACATAAAACGTGGAGCTTTGATTTTTCATTAGCACTCCTGCCATCAGTTAAGCCAGGATGAACTAAAGTGTGTTTCCCAAAGTGTGCCCCATCCCCTCAGCATTAGAATAATAGAGGGAGGTGTTTAAAAAACAACAGATTTTAAAAAAGGAAACCAATTTCTGAGCCTCACATCAGACTCAGTGAATAAATATTCCTGGATGTTGGGCTCAAACAATTCACATTTTATAATAATACCCAAGTGACTCTTATCTACACCATAGTTTGAAATCTTTGGAACGTGAGTGGCATTTTGTGGTAACTACTATTTTAGAGAAATGTAAGTGCAAGGAATTTTGAGTACAAGAATAAAGGAAGAACCAGCTTAACTTTTAGAAAACAAAAGGCAAATTTAGCAAACGAACAAACAAAAACGTTGAAAAATAAGGAAGCTAGAACGAAGTTTCTCTTTTCTAATTTCCCTTTCTTCATTCTATCTTAGAACAAAAAGGAGAGGCAGGAAGTAAAAGCTGCTGCCTCATCTGTTAACAGAACGTTATTTAGTTTACCAAGATTGTTCCACAGTCAAGGTGACTTTGCTTATCTATTCTTTTTCATGTTGGGACAGGTTTAAAACTGACAACAACCCTGAGCTACTCTTAGGCAAAACTGCGAAATAACACGTTTTCCTAAATAAGTAATTGAGAGGTTGCGTTAGTGTCCATGGCTGCCATAACAAATCACCGCAAATTGAGTGGCTTATGACAACAGAACTTCATCATCTCACAGTTCTGAAGGGCTGGAGTCCAAAACCACGATGTCGACAGGGCGGTGCCCTCTCCTGAGACTCTGGGGAAGAATGTGTTTCACGGCTCTCAGTTCCTGCTGGTTGCCAGCAATCCTTGATATTCTCTGGCTTGAGGACGCACCACTGAATCTCCATCTTCATGTGAAATTCTCCCAGGTGTGTCTCGTCTTCACTTGTCCTCCTTTTTTTGTTCAAATTTCCCTCTTCTTATAAGAACATTAGTCATTGGGCTAGGTGGTGCATGCCTGTAACCCCAGCTACTCAGAAGACTGAGGTGAAAGGATCACTTGAACCCAGGAGGCAGAGAGGTTGCAATGAGCCAAGATTGAGCCACTGCACTCCAGTTTGAATGACAAAACAAGACTCTACCTCAAAAAAAAAAAGTTCAGTAGTCACTGAATTAAAGCCCATTCCAATGCATTATGACCTCATCTTAACTTGATGACATCTGTAAAAATCCTATCCTATTTCCACGTAAGCATAAGGTCACATTTACAGGCACTGGGAGTTAGGAATTAAACAAGTCATTTTGGAGTATCCAATTCTACCCAGCACACTGAGTCAATGTTAAAGGGAAGCTAGGAGATAGAACTGAAGTTGTGTTGTTTTTATTTCATATTGCCTTCTTCTCTGTGTGTCTATACCATTTTCTATTTAGTCTCTTACAGGGACACTTGTCTTGGGATTTAGGCCCACCAGGATAACATAGGATAACCGCTTCAACTGGAGGTCCTTAATAAGTATATCTGCAAAGGTTTTTCTGCAGGTAACAGTAACACATTTCAGGGGTTAGGACATGAATATATCCTTTTGAGAGACACCATTTAACCACTACTAGATGATGAAAACTTTTTTTGTAGAGATCGGGTCTCCCTATGATGCCCAGGCTGGTCTCAAACTTCTGGCCTCAGCCAATCCTCCTGCCTTGGCTTCCCAATCTGCTGGAATTAAAAGGTGTTAGAATTTAAAAACAGACTATATCTTCACCTTTTCTGAAATGGCGTGAGTATATTCTTGCCTGGAGTAGATTAAATTACTCCTCAAGGTCATTCCTAACTTATTTAATTATCTAAGTTTATGATCTTATCAGAATTTGAGTTTTCAAGATCTTATTTAAAGAGGAGAAAATAAATTCAAGGCAAATCTAATGTAAGTAAGTCAGACAAAGTATTCTTTTTTCAATAGGTTTAAATTCACAAAAATGATTTCTTCAGGAGTACAAAGCATGTTCATACTAAACTCTTAACAAGAAAGATTTTTTTAACATTTAGAAACTTATAAAATGATGTAAATCTGAAAGACAGGCCAAGTTATGGCCTGAATTAATATTTATTCAGCATAATTAATTTTTAATGTTTATTAATATTTATTTATTCAGCTTTAATCATCTCAAATCATTTGTGACATATAGGTCAGACTTGGACATCGAGAAGATTTAAAAGATACAATATGTGCCAAAACCAAGTTTCAGGGGGGATATTTTGTCCTTTCTGTGTCTGTACAAACTCCTTCCCTTATCCCCAAAGTTTAAAAACTTCTCACATGTTCTGAATGTCTTAACAGGTTTAAGAAAAAATAGAAGAGGATTGTGATGAAATATGTTAACTTCCAT